GATTTGTTTCTTTTCTCTTACTGCTTGTAGTATTTTGTTCTTCTGTTGGGTTTCTGGGATCTTGATTATTATATGTCTAGGTGTAGATTTTTTTTGATTGTAGCTAGTTGGGGTCCTATATGCCTCAGTTATCTGAATGTCAAATTCTTCCCCTCTGTTTGGGAAGTTTTCTGTCATTAATTCTGCAAACAGCTTTTTTAAGTCATTTGTATTTTTTCCTGCTACTTCATGTATTTGGTGTGAAAAACTATAATAGTACACAGGATCCTAATGAGATAATTAATAATGTGAAATATGAAGTAAAGGGCTAAAGGTGTAGGGAAAGTGGGAAGGGTGGGGGAGAGGTAATAAGGGAGAGGAAAAAAATATGAGAAACTGAAAAAATGGAAATAAAGTATTTGTAAATGGGGAGGGGAGGAGAGGGTGAGGGGAGGGCAGGGACAAGGGAAAAAATGAGAATCAAGACCTATTATGTAAAGGTACAGAATCCCAGTGATGAATGTAATTGTATTGTATACCTAGATTATACCAATAACCTCAATAAAAAGAAAAAAAAAAGATAACTAAGGAAAAAAAAAACATTATTTCCTGACTTACGGTTCTGGATAGCTGCTTTATGTAGTGCTTCCATTATGTTATTCAGTTTAACCTAGAGCTGTAAATGTTTTAATAAGTAGAGTTGAGATGCTGTATAACCAGTGCTATGCTGGCAAATGTTAAACACACATTCACACATACATATGTATATGGATATTATAATTTTAGTAGTATAATGGATGTTTAATGAGCAATTTATAAGTAGCAATAACATAGACAATACTCTTGATTGTAAATTCCATGTGGCAAATACATGATCACAGAATGCTTTTCTTGATTTTTGCTAAACTTTTTTTACCTGTAGATTGAAGTTTGTGAGTGTAGTTCACACATGAATGGAAGTTGATAATTTTATTATATTAACAAATAAGGAAACAGACAAAGACATTTGTTGAATCTTGATTTGTTTATCCCTGGTGTGGGTGCCTTCCTTTATGAATCAAATATAGCTTTTAAATATTGGAAGACTATTTTTCATTTTTTGTGCTATCTACAGTGTAAAAACTATAAACCATAAACATAATATACTCTAAATTAATTCACATAGCTAACATTTTCTCCATTATTTGAATAAGCCTAGACCAGGCTTCAGCAAACTTTGTGTAAAGGCCAAATAACAAATATTTTAAGCTTCGGTCCACATGATATCTATTGCAACTATTCAATTGCCAAAATAGTGCGAAGATAATCATAGATATTTATTTGGACTAATAGATGTGCCTGTGTTCCAATAAAACCATTTACAAAAACAAGTGGTTGTTGGATTTCACCTACTGACCATAGTGACTCCTGTCCTATAAATCAACAAAACAATACATTAAGCCTTAATTTTAGCATTGCCATCCTTTGTGATGTGAAAACTCCCACAACAGCCAATTTCATGCTGTCATATGATGTCGCTGAGTGCAGAGTGGGGAGAAGACGGACAGCAGTACATCATTTTACAGTATTTCTACCATACAGACACAACAGATGTCAGTAAATTCAAAGTTGGAGTCTGCAAAGACAGACAGATTTGTGTTAGGTCTTGTTTCCTCTAACCTTGATTGTTTCTTGCAGGAACCAGAGCCCTTCGTCACAGGGGCCAGATATCTGGCCCAGAAGTCAGAAGCTTGGCAGGAGAGGTGGATCAATTGGCAGCTACAGTACTGCTTCACACTCAGGAGGAGAGCTGGCAGTGAGTGACAGCACCTGGGGAGACTCTCATGAGGCTCTCATGGCCCGTCCTAATCAGAAATGTGCAGGAAAGGGGTCTGGGGAGAAGCATTTCCACTTCACCATGCCAGCACATTGCAAAGCCACTGCCCACAGGTGCTGACCTCTCCCCTCCTCCTCTCGTGGATCCTAGCTTTCTTTTGTTTCCTATCTCTTCCCTTTTCCTGCCAACTCTAGAAGAGCTCCTTAGCCTTATCGCCCAACTCTCCAATTTATTCCTCACCTATATCCATTTTGCTGTATTTCTTATCTATAGTTCTATTTACTTCATCTGTATCCTATAGTTACTATTCAGTTTGCTCTTTTTCTGTTTTCTTGTTTTTACTTCCTATTGCTGATATCAGCTTTAACTTCCTAATACATTCATTGCAATTATTTTAATTTCTTGGTTCATCTCTTCTTGTAATACCAACTCAGGAAGTTTATATAGTTGAGATTGTTGTCATATTTAGCAGTCATCTTCCTTTTATGGCTTGTAAGTTATCTTGTCCCAAGAACCCCTCTCATCCTTGGAGTATCAGTTACTAGATGTGGTAATGTGTGGGATAAGATTAAATCCCAGCCTCCAGTTAAAAAAACCCCAGGTGAATTGATGCCCCAGGGAAAACCCAGAGAACAGAGCCTTGGGAATTACAAAACTGATGGTGACCGGTCCATTTTTCCTCCTCCTACAACTAATTTCTTTAGTTCCTGTTTCATACTTACGCTGTTCTTAAACAATCTCCATGGAGTTGACCCTCCTTTCCCCAGGGTGTGGAATGGGAACATTATAGCGAGTACTTAATGTCACTGTATACCACCTTTTCATTCTACTTCCCCTTTTCTGGTTGTGACCCCCTGACACCTGCAGCCTAAGCTGTTGCTGTCAGTTTCTGAAGTGACAGAGCAGGCTGCCACTGTACCGGGGGCAGAAGAGAAACATCATTCTTCTCCTTTGATTTCTCCCCATAGCCACTGGCTACCTCCTCCCCAGGCTGAAGCTCTTCTCTCCTTCCCTCCTGCTCCCCAGACTCCACAGGGATTTCTGTGTCTTATTTCTTGGTATTAGTTCCTGAAATCCACTTCCCTCTGGCTTCCATGGTTTCTCTAGGGTTGATTTTCATAAAGGAGCCAGTGGACAATGCAGTTTTTCGTCTTAACAGGATGAAAGGAATGGCTGACATAGCAAGTATAGCATAGAACAGGAAGAATTAGACAAAATGTGTGATCTCTAAGACAGGCTACAAATATACTGCAAGAAGTGCTTATTTCTTTTCTTATCATTTCAATTAAGTTGTACACATATATAAAATAGTGAAGATGAAAGTGAAATGAGACTTCAAAAATGAGATGATGAAGTAATGTTGTAATGGGAATAGCAGTCCTCACTCCTTCCCATTCCAAAATTCTGTTCTCCGGAACTTTTAGGGGGGCTGTTTCTTCTGGGGTTTACTTTCATAATTATTTTTTGGTACTGGGGATCGAACTCTGGACCTTGCGCTTGTGAGGCAGGTGGCGGGACCACTGAGCTAAATGCCTAGCCTTTTTACTTTCAAATTCTACATAAAATGTCTCTGTTGATATTTCTTGCTTTTCAAATATAGGCCACTTTACTATCTTTGGTTTCCTGAGGTGGAAGAGGAGGATTCAGCACTTGTGCCTGCAGTGTTCTCTCCGCACACATTCTGTTCCCCTCCTTTCTCCATCCTCCCCTGTAGTTATGTCCCTGCTTCTTTTACCAGTATTCGCCTGTGGGAAATGGCATTCACATCTTAGACACATAACCGGCTAAATAGAAACTTTACTCTCTTAGGATTCATACTTGCTCACCCACCCAGTTGTTCAGTGATCTCTGTGGCAACCTTCAGTGAGGTTTAGCACAGCAGGTTCTCTGCCACCAGCCCCTTGCATATGCTTTGTCTTCCTCCTCCATGGATTGCTCTTTGCAATATGGTGATGAAGATCATCAATTTTTTTTTTTTTTTTTGCCTGCTCTCCTGTATTAGGTTTTCTGATTCCCAGCTCACATCTCCCTCTTTCTTGATTCATTCTCATTTGGTGAGGAGATCACAAGCTTCTGGTAGTTTCTAAAAAAAAGTTCATAAGATGAAAGTTATCTGTCTCTCAGGCTGCCCCTCAAGCCTGAGGCTGTACCCCCTCCCATTATTTTAAGTATCCCACAGTACACATTCATTGCTCTCAGTAGACAAACTTTTTTCAGGCCATTTTCCAGTTGTTGGATTTCCATTAGAAGCGTGTGGTTTTGAGTTCACCGGTCAACCACATCTGAGTCAGATTTGATGTCTGGATCCAGACTAAGTTACTTAGGCAGGAACAGGGCCTAGGCTCTCCTTTTGCTGGTGATAGTCTGGGTGAGGCAGGTGGACAGAGTTCTGGAGTCCACCCCATGGCCACCTGGTTTGCCAACCTCCGGATGGTGGATGGTGGCAGGGGTTATGCATTAGAGTTGGCCCCCGGCACAGCTCTCCATGCGGTGGCCTCTGTGAGAGGCGCTGGCTGCCTCTGTGGCAGCTCCTGTGCAGGAGAGGTCCTGTCTGGGAGTGCAGTCATTTCTTACCCTTGGCCTGTGAGCTTTATCTAATAAGTAGTCCTTTCAAAATAAAGTGGCTAGTGAAGCTTCTACTGTAGTAAACGACCTATGCAATGTGCTTTGTATGCCTAATGGTGTCTTTATTACACAAGATATGAGTTTCACTGGGAATAGAGTTCTAATGGAAACCATGTTCCTCAAAAATTAGAAAATGGTTTTCCATTGTCTGACATCTAATGGAGTGGCTCAGAAATATGAGATCATTCTTTTTTTTTTTGAGAATATGTATGTGACTCGCTGGGCCTCCCCAAACTCTTTTGTTTAATCTGTAAGTCACAGTATTTTTAAATTAGTTTCTATATTATTGAATCTACAAGTTGTCTGGTTTTAGAGTTCTGTAGCAGATATTGTCTTATGAAAAGTAGTTGTTTTCTAATTCATTCTCCCTCTTCATCATCAGGAGCCAGTATTTTCACCACTTATATACAATTAAAAGCATTTTTGTGTATATGAAAGAGACCCTTTCAGTGCTTTCATATTTGACTGTTATAAACAATTTCAAGAACATATTATACATGCAAGTAGATGCTTTTTCCTTGTTCCTAAATAGATTTTACTTTGTTGGGCTTTTCCCCCTTTTGAAAGGTGTTTCATTTAGTGGTAGGATGTGAGCCTGGGCCTGAAAATAAAAGAAAGCTCCACTTCCAGGGAATGGTAAACGAGAAGTAATGTTTTTGGGTCCATGAGGTTCCTGACCCAAGGAACCTGAGGAAAACACTGTGGACTGACACCAGAGAGCTGCATTTGGAAATCAGGGAAGGTAAATGTGGAACTTCCTGGCTGCGAGGGTGGAACTCAGAGGGAGTGCTGTAGCAGGGCAAGGCTGGGCTGCTTGGAGCCTGGCATCAGCCGAGCACCCTGGGCCATATTTAAACATCAGAGGAAACAGCAGCAGCAGGGGAGAAAAAGCACTTTTAAGCCACCTAGGCTGCAGCTGCCTTTGGTGTCACTGCTTTTTCTAAACTAAACCGCTTCGGTAGTGCTTGTTAAAATCTCCAGCCCTAAGGAGGTGCATTTGGGTCCAAAGTCACAGAGTGAGGAAATAAGTGCAAGCTGAGTAATCCTTAGATTACTTCCCATCTGGAGTTCCTAGATGTATGGAATGTAGGAAGGAGTCTAAGAGTTAAACTGATTTCTTGCGAAGATGGACGCTGGGGGCTCAGGCCTTCACTGGGATCCGTCCTGGGGTGAGGCAGATCCTGTGAAACAAGACATACTGGTTACACAGATGAAACTATTTCTCAGTTTTTCTTGACACTGGCAACTCTGGTTACCTTTACTTTAATGTATTTTAAGGAGGAAAGATAAGGGACTGAGGGAAGAAGGAGTATGAGCTGGGGAAAACTTGACCTGACACCATTCTTCTGTGCCTAAAACATGGCCTCATATCACCCCTACTGAACCAAGGCAGTTTCTACAACTCAGAGAAATACTTGAATCTAGCTTGTATATTTCTTCTGTGCAGAATTGGATTTTTGATCAGAGAGAGAAGGAAAGGCTAACAGTTTAAAGATGAGGGGAACTGTGACCTCCATTTTAAACAAACAGACAAACAAATAAATCCTTTCCTCCCCACCCAAACCCCACATGTACAAAACATCCCAAACTATAAAATAACAAATTCAACTCAACAGAAACACCTGATGAACCATGAGAACCATGCCACAGTGACTAACATAGTTTCAAAAAACAATGATAAGTCTGGTAGGAAATAGAACAGTATTGGTCCCTGAAGCTTTTCTGAGAATGAAGAGGCAAATAGCCCAAATCAGGTCCCACATCTGGGACTCTGTGCATGGCCTGTCTGCTCCATGACAGCTGTTTTCAAGGTCCTGGAAATTGGTTCTCTAGCTTAATCCAAGGTGAATTGGACCCATGGAATTTTTAGTCACACTCAGTTCTGCCGTGGTCATATTTGTGCAGATGTGTCAGCTGTCCTGATTCCTTAGGCGACAGGGGGCTGCAGCTATGACTGTGACTAATGAAAGACACATTTGTCCTTTGTACTTAGGGAGAAAGGGCACTTAGGAGCAGTTCCATATATTGAATAGAAGGTGTTAGTTGGAAATGAACAAACTGATTCCAATAAGATAAGGGAGATTATTTAAATTTGAAAGCAAGTAGTTATAACTTGAAGAAATTCAAATATGAAAGGTTCTAGTCAGACATTTTTTTCCTAGAAAAAGCAAATCTCTAAAGTAAGCAAAAGTAATCAGAATGTATCAACTCGGGAGAGAACAAGATATGGCACTTGGAAAGAAAAGGTAATAACTGCAATAATAATGTTCAGGCTCTGTTATTTTTTGAAGCCAATTCAATAAAATGTAATATAACATTAACAATTTCTTGGAAAAAACCAATCAACTGCTCTTCTCTCCTTTATCTATAGCTCTATATTCTGCATGAATTATTCACTGCTGTGGTCAGTCTCTCGTACCCAGTGTGTTCCTGAATAATTCTGTGACATTAAATAACAATAAAATCTATAATATTTTATTTAAGAATAAATTTTAATTAAAGCTTTATTTATAAAAGATTATCCACTTGTTTTTAAATTAGATGCCTCCTCAATTTAAGCGATTGATTTTATCCCATTCAGATCTAGGATTCTTACTAGATTCTTACTAGTGTTGTAGTGTAGCACATCATGCTACCATTTTCAATTCAAAATACCCTATTCACAGAAGGAGCAATCTTTTCTTCACTGTTTGCTAACCTGTTATTTTTCCATAACCTTTGAGGGGTGGATAAGTAATGTGTTACACACTGAGCAAAATCAAGGTGGCGACAGAGATTTCTAGGCATTTCTGTTTACTTCAGTTGGGCATCAGACACTGACTATTCAGACTGGGTCTTCTTGGTCCAGATATATCTGTCTGATATTCTTGAGGATCTCTTGAACTGAGAATATATAAAGATAGTAAATTGATCATTTCATAATAATTGAAACCAAACCCTGGAATTAAAAGTTAGCTTTCAACTTCAGCACTAATACAGACTACAAATCACAGGTTATCCTAAAGTAGAATTGAAGCTCATTTTCCACTTCTCCCCTCTCTGTATGAGTGGTCCAAGTGTTATTTCCTATTAGTGTCTCTGTTCTCCTGGGTTCCTTTCTTGTCAGCAGCCCAAGTCCTTCAGTGATTCAGGCTATCTTTAAAGAGATGAGGCACACTCCTGTTTTCAGACTATTCTCTGGTTCTATGTTTGTTTTGGGCTAAAGTTTGCTTTAAGCCTAGGTTTTATCAACTGGTTCTGTAGAACAGTTTGGCTGTGGATTATTCTGGAAAATTCTGATGTTCTAGTCCCCCTGTGCACCTCCACTTTTCTCCTTATCTGAGGTCTGTCTCCGTCCACATTGTCTTTCCCGGCTGGTATAGTCCTGGCAGTGTTGTCTTAGGTGCTGTGGAGGGTTCAATTAACTAGCTTTGGATGAAGGATTGTCTCCCTGGTAGAGACAAAGTGAAAACATTCATCCACTCAGTGATACCAACATATTTTCTACTCAGTGCTACCGAGCATATCCCAAGCAGCACAGGCTCTGATGAACCATTACTATCTATCACATATGCTGGAAAACCATGCAGACTCCAGCATAATTGCAGGGGTTAGAGCAAACTGCTTGCACCTCCATGTCCAACCTGCCGCTCCCCATTCCTCTCCTTGTTCTTCTTTCTTCCCTTCCCTCCTTATTCCTTCCAATTATTTGGAAAGAAGTTCAACTTCATACTGAACACAGAAGGAATGGCTTGTTGACCCATCTCCCTAAACATTCCCTTCATTCTGCCCAGACTAACTTCTGACAACTTAAAAAAAAAACAGCTTGACTGTTCTTGTGGACCAGAATCTTCAGGGTTGAGATTTTAAAGTCTGCATTTTTAAACATTGTCACTCTGAGAATTACTCTAATGTTCAAAATACAGTCAGGTTTGAGAACCCACAGCTTGGATGTTGCCTACTGCAGCTATGAGGTGTCAATGCCAGGGCATCCATTACAGGGTTATAGCTTAGTTTAACTTTCTCTTTACTTGACTTTTTTTTTTTTGGTACCGGGGATCGAACTCGGGTCCTTGGCAACAGAACCCCTGAGCTAGTCCCCGGCTTAACTTTCTCTTTGATAGTCTAGCTAGCGAGAGTAGTTTGTCATGTCAAATTCCCAGAGTTTAAATCCTGACCTTATTCTTGTGTGTTTTATTGAGCAAGTTACTTGATCTCTTCAGGCTTCAGTTCACTCAGCTATAAAATAAATGTTTAAAATAGTACCTGTTTATAGAGCCATTGGATGATTAGATAAGATGATACATGTAAAGCACAGAGAATAGCATCTGACATCTTGTAAAGGTGGGTGAAATATTAACTAATGCATCATATGATCATGAGTACATCACTGGGCTCTCCCAGGGGTTGAAAAGACTTTAAAAGATGATCTGATCCCTAGATAGTTGGATATCACTATGGTCATCATTTTATATTTCTCAAGTGATGTGCCCGTCCAGCATGATTCAGAATGAAAATAACTATAATAACAAAACAATAAGAAGTAGTATCTCTTTTTGTGGTTACTACCTTTCAAACACTGTGGTAGATGGTAGGTGTTTGATGTACCTTACTCATTAACTCAGTGTTTTTCAACCTCTAATGTGCACACAAGCCCCCTGGATATGAAGTTAATATGCAGATTTGGAATCTGAAAGCTTTGGGTGGGCTTCAGGACCCTGCTGCATTTCTAACCAGTTTCCAGGTGATCATGAAGCTGCTGAATCCACACCTTGATTAAAAAGAGTTTAACCTTAACAGGAACCCTGACTGATAGGAACTGTTCTCTGAAACATAGTTGGGATAAATAACTTTGTTGAGGTGGCAGAAGTTGAAGGATGGTGCTGGGCCTTGGACAGCTCCTGTTGCTCCAGAGCCCGCTTCCTTCGCCACCTTTTCAGACCCACTCCCATCTGTGAGCAGTGGCAGCCCCATTGGTCTGCTCTGACGCTGAACAGTGGATCATAGTGCAAACAGCTGAAGTCCCCAAAGTTTTCAAATCATGCTGCCACCTAGAGGAGAGACGTCTGGGGGATATTTCCTGTATCTTAATGGTAATTACACCCTTGTTCTTTTAAGCCACAATGACATTACACCTTCTCTTGTCCGTTTAGATTTCTTGTTCATATATATATATATTTTTTATATATATAGTTTTGATCTTCATCTTTCTTGTAATTTTTCTGTCTTAGCTCACACAGCAGCCCCTCTTTGAAAAAGAGCCAGACACTCAGCTTCCAGAAGTGGAATTAGCTGACATTTCCAGCTGTTGACTCTTTCATACCTGCTTCAGCTTTTGAGCCCTTGTCAACCTCTCTTTGGGCTGCCCCAGGCTCAGCTATCCATTGATGCCGATCCTCTAATGGGCAGCCCATGTTCAAACTTTCCATTGGGCCAGCAGAGACTCCCGCAGATCAACTGCATGGTCAAACCCCTCCCTGGGTTCAGTCCTTACTTTCTCCTTTTCTTTTCATGATGTTGCTCCCCAGTGCAGAGAATCTTGCTCCTCTAACTCTAGTTCAGCACCTGCTTCACAGTGGTCCCAGCCACACCTCCCGCTGCTCAAGCAGGAGCTCCCACTACACCTGAGACAGTTTGTCCTCACTGGTTCCTGGTCTGGTGTCTGAACAGGAGATGCTCAATTGTATCTAGGCACTCTAAACAGGCATATGCTAAGTGTAGTGTTCTTATAGCTTCATACGTGTAGTCATTTCTTTTAAATGTTTGAGATAAAGCAGATAAGTCATAAATTTTAGTATCAGGCTTCTATTTCTCCTTCGGTTCCTATGGTGAATTATTCAGCAGAGTTTAAACATTAGCAATTACATGCTACATCTCAAGATCCCTGGGTGCTGCCTGTGTAATTATGGTGGCATGGCAAGGAAAAACAAGTGTCACCAAAATAAGACAAGAAACTATTCAGTGTCCATGAATTAGCAATACTGAATTGGAGTTAAAAAAAAAAACACCACAAGACAAATACTGGCTACAGAAAAAGTAAACAGAGTAAAAATCTTTGAGGTTTTCTTTATCCCAGTTTATTAATACTACACAGAACTCTGGGTCTTGGTTATAATTTCCAATGGAAGACAGACAGTTGTCAACATGATTTTACCTGATGGGCTCTCACAAAGCACCTTCCTAAACACTTAAATCTATAAAC